TGTATTACAATTGTGACCATATATCACGATATATTTTATAGGCCTATCTCTTAATTGAGACTTTACTTCATATAATTGCGGTGATAGTTGAATTTTAGGTGATAATTGTGATTTTATATCGTAATTGTGACTTTATTTTTCGCAATTACATTTTTATATCTTTTATATAAGTCGCATTATTAGAATACCTCAGTCGTGATTCTGTATATCACAAGAGATTTTTTTATCATAATTGTGACTTAATATTTTTCCAATTTTAAGTGATAATTTTGAGTTTAAATCGTAATTGTGGTTTTATTACTTTTACTCTCATAATAAATATATCACAGTTGTGACCCTATATATCAGGAGAGATTTTATTTCTCGTAACTGTGGCTGAACGCAATTACAAACTTATGTCAAAAAAATTCAACTTTATTTCTCAATTGCGGCTTTATTTCTCACATCGTGACTATATCTTTATACCTCACAACTATATTTTAACTTTATGGCTTATTTAACTTTAAATAAAATTGCTGTCAATGTGAACGGCCACAACAAGACAGGTCATTTTCTAATTCTATGGCATTAAATAGCTCCGACCACTGTGAAATCTCATTGGTTTATTCTGCTCTTCATAACTAAACATTAAACATCTGATTGGCTGTGATAATGTCATGTCACTCAGCAGTTTCTCCTTCAGTATGGGCAAATTATCTTGGCAGTAAACTCATCACATCGTGCCCTGTTAGGACATTTTGTTGAACTTGGAATAATATTCTTTTTTAAAAAATGCACATTATTTAGCATATTTTGTAAATATATAAATGATGAATTATAAAACTCCTTCCTGACTGCTTACTAATATAGCTCCTCCCTATATTTGTCTAAATGTTTGTATAAATGAATATAAAGTAAAATATCAGTATTTTATAATGGAGTTGTAGAGATTTAAAACCCGAATTAACGCATTTAAACTTGTAGACCATCATTTTCCTCTTTACCATTGCTTATGACTTTCAATAATGCTTAAAGTATCATTTTAAATAATACAACTGCAATGTCACAGCTCGATAAATGTAATACATACACATTTTAGTTAAAAACTCAAATTTTGATGAGTAGTTTATTCATTGTATTTATAATCACAAGCATGATAGGCCAAGTCAGTCAAGTGTGTGTGTGTTTTCCACATCAAGTGCATGTACCCAAGTGCTTCCTAATTGACCTGAAGGCATCTCTCTTTTTTCCAACCGATATGTAGCACAGTTGATACTTTGTAATATAGATCAGCTAATTTCTTTTGTTTTTATTTATACAAAGGTGTATATACCTTCAGCAACCCTGCGGAGACAGTGCAAGTAAACACATGTATCAATGCAGAGCACATAACATCAGTTTATTATTTCTATTTAAGGAAACCTACTTTAACCATTGAATTACACTCTTGTGCTGCTCATGTAATTGATTTGTAAACAGCGCTGCATCATAGTTGCACTGACAGGTTACTCAATACTAGTCAAAACCTAACTGCACTGTCTCATATTTTTCAATAACTGATAATACTAATTTGCACTTGTTAAATATGTTAAATAAACAGAGCTATTTCTTTTTTCTTTCTCAGAATATTTCACTGTGGATAGACACATCACTATAAATATATATATTGATATTAATTTCTCAGCAGCCAATGTGCAGCCATTCTCTTTTTTCATAGACAGTTCGGTTGCATTGGCTTTAGTTTGATCCTGTATGTGTTTATCTTATTAACTAAACTCTTAGTTCCAGTTATTATGCACTAGAACCCTTCTACTGTGGTTAATGTTTGTTTGAAATATTATTGATGTTTAAACGCTCTGCCTTAATTTACGAATATATGATAGTCATGCACAACGTAGCCTCAGGGGAGACTATATAACGTGTGTATGAATGTGCGTGTATGTTTGTGTATGTGTATATCATGAACAGGTCTTATACTGGAGATGTTACAGTACCAATTAAAGCATTCAATATTGATGACAAAATAGCCATTCATATTGATATTTCTGTATCAATGTGTTCAGTAGTATTTCATGGCATTTACAGTCCAAATTTACACCAAAATTAGGAATCATTTTGTCTTGTTTTGGACAATCAGTGATTAACACAAAGGAAATCCATATCATTTTATTTGTAAAAAATTATATAAATAAAATACTGACATGTTTATTGAAATATTAATTGATTACATTTCATTTTTAGTATTTAAAAAGATATTTATGAGACATAGAGAGATATTTTGAGAGACTATATAGCACTTAAGTTTTTGCAGAAAGTGATCACAATCTCATTTTCTTAACTGTTGTCATTCACTGATGTGAAAATATCAGTTTATATCTGGCAACATGATGAGTCCTGACTTTTTTAGGGTTTTATCTCCCAAAATAGAAGATTAGACTGCGTATTGTTGCCAAAATGTGGACTGTGCACCCACCACAATGTTTTGGGAAATGAAGACAGGATATTATGTATTTACTGTTCTAGTAAAAGCATAAACTTGATCAGAATGACTGTGTGTAAATACATGAATGTTCTTCATTGTAAATGTAACCTACATCTAAGGATATCTTACTACTTACATTTTGTATTTATTGTAACAACACTGTTGATGTTATGGCACGTGTGAAATTTTGATCATTAAAACATTACAGATGCTCACAGCAAAAAAACAAAAGTGATTCATTTCCAAATAAATGTTTGTTCTATCCTGAATGAATGAATGAATGCATGTTTTACATGGAAGCCCATTTATACATTTCCTACTTTTTTCCTCATAATTGCAACTTTGTATCTTACAACTGTGACTATATCTTTTGTAAATGTCTTTATTTATCAGTATTGTGACTTTAATGGTCAATGTTGCGACATCTCGCAATTATAAAAGTCCCAAAAATTGCAATTTAATCTCATAATTGAGACATTTATCTCAGAGTTGTAACTTTGTTTGTCATAATTGTCTTTATTTCTCATAACTGCAACTTTATTTCTCCCAATTGAAACCCAGTTATATCTCACAACTGTTTATATTTCTCAAAAACGTTTTGTAAGTGTTGCAACATATCTTAAAATTATGACTCTCACAATTATGACTTTCATGTAATTGCAGATTTTTCACTTATGTGACATCTCACAAGTACAGCTTTATATATCACAGCTGTGATTTTATTTCTCGTATTATATATACCGTGACCGTTTTCTCATAATTTCCATTATTTCAAGTAATTGTAACTTTATTTGACACAATTGCAACTATTTCTCACAGTTCTGACTTTATATCTCACAATTTGGCTTTTTATCTCAGTTGCAACAATTTCACATAACTACATCTTGATTTTTTGTAATTGCAACTTTATTTCCCATTGTTGTGACATCTCACAATGATAAAATCAGCTGTGATTTTATTTCTCATAATAGCTACATAGCTCACAATTGTGACATTGATATATCATATTGTCTTTATTTCTTGTAATTGCAACAAGTTGACTATCACAATTTTAAACTTTTTTTTGTCTTTGTCTCATAATTGTGATATGTAATGGTGACTTGCATATCTTTTTTCTCACAGTTTTGACTTTATATCTCACAATCTTTCTGGTTTTAAACTTCCTATTACCTTTTACATACTTTCCTACTATTAACTAGGCTTCATAGTTTTAAATCACTGCCTGAGGCCTGAGTAGGAGAACAGATCTTCTTTGACTCTTATTAATAGACACCTTCAGGCATCTCCAACAGATGAACCCAGACAACATCTAATGTGTGAGAGACATCAATTCCATCCAAAAGTCTTCAGTATGTAATGTCTTTTTAAATATAGGTGTTCGGTTAATTAACTGCTTTGAGCTGCTAATCACTCTGAGCATTATTTGTCAGATAGACCAATGACCCTTTGAGTTGTTTGTTTGGATCGCGGCCCAGTGAGAAGTCTAAAGTAAAGAACAGCTGTCTAACCGAGTGTGATTGAATATCCAGGACAGACGTGTCCCTACTAATCCGTCTTTATTGTCTGTGCTCAGATACACAAGACCTGCACACTCTCACAGACGCCATTGGCAAGCCATCGTTGACGTCTGGTTTTAGCTACCACTAATTAAATGCGGGATTATGCTAATTGCGTTCTTGTGAAGCTTACACACACAAGAATGTCAGTATGATTTAGCAATAGCCTGTAGGAACTTGCCTTTAATAGGTGTGAGATGTCAAGGCAGGGCAGCAGTGAATCGGTATAGATCACCTCATTTGGATGTACCTGCTCATGCTGCCTTCCGCTTTATGAAAGCAATCCACCTATTCTGTCAGGCAGGCCTTACATGTCATTTTTCAAACACTACTAGAAAGAACTGTCATCTTAAGGCTAAGCTTTCCCATGCTACACTGTAAAAAAAATTCTGTAGTTTTTACAAAATAATTTTGGCAGCTGTGGTTGCCAGAATAATTTTGTAAAAAATACAGAAAAACTGTAAACACATTTACGGCCAAAAACTACGTTTACAAACTTAGAATTTTCTTGTTTACAAACAAGAAAATTTGAATGTAAACCAGTAAATTCAACAATGCACACTGCTATTAAAATATTAAAAAAACATGATTATTTAAACAAAATACTTTCAAATGTGGAGTGTCATGCAGGGAATTCTGGGTATATCAGTTTACAGTTTTTGACTGTAAATTATACATTGATTTGTTATTTTTACTTCTAAAAACTGTCAAATTAACAGCATTTTACTGTAAAATTACATGAAATGTCTGGTTAGATATTTTACAGTTTTTCCCTGTATATAGTACGGGAACTTGCTGTTAACCTATTAACAGTTTTTTTCCGTAGCGTTTTTACAAAATTTTACAGTAAAAATTACACTTATTTTTTACAGTGTACTCTTTGTTTAGAGGTAAAAACAACCTTGAATGTAAGAACCTTACTACGAACACACTTATGGAACAATGTAGTTAAAAATAAGCTGAAGAAAGGAGATGAACGCCCATTTTGTAGAAAACAAAACTTTATTTAAACACCGTGTGACCCCTATTTGCCACATACATTGCACAGTAAGGAGGAGAAGTCACATCATTGGGCATCATGTCACATTGGCTACTGTAAATGCACTGGTCTAAGGTCCCAAAACCTTGAAATCAACATATTTGGTGACATAAAACCATTCTTTCCTTTTATCCTCTGAAAGTGGTCTCAACTTGATAAAACAAAAAAAACAAAAAAACAATACAATTAGTGTTCATTCTTCCAGCTCATTTGTCCAAGGTGTGTGTGTGTGTGTGTTTAGGGCAGGGGTGGGGAGTATGCGGGCACATTCACTGGCCGTTTCTACACTGAGTATTCAGAGGAAATCTCAGACTGTAGTTCTGCTACATCTGAATATCCCTCAAGAGTAATGAAAGGAAAAAAAGAAACATACTAACAGCATCAGAAACTTTACAACAAAAAAGCGATACAAAAAAACTGAACATCTATGAGACACAGAATGACCCGGTGCAGTAGTGATTAGAGTCTGTCGGAGAGAAAACTAGAGTTGATAAGATACTGAGATGACCTGCCATTTTGTGCAAAAAAAAAAAAAACGAGGCAGAATATCAGACGTGTTCGCTAAAAATGAGGCAAAATCCACAATCATTGAGCCGAATCTCTGAAAACGAGAAAAAAAGACTCATGAGGAATGGGAGAAGAGCTTGCCTTCTTGTAAAAATAAGGAAAGACAGGAAGTCGTATTACTGTGTTTGGTTTTGGTCCCCTGTGTACAAAACGAAAAGATACATATTTATTTACATATAAATGGAATACAAAAGAAAGAACTGACTTGCCAAGGCACCTTGAAATGCTTTACATAAAGGAATCCTCATCAATTTGATTTACATTTACCAAAAATAGAAATGATCAGGCCATGCTTGTTTGCTTTCTGTTGCTCAGTCAAGTTTTTTTGAACTCCCTGTGGAGTTCAGTTTTGGGGGGCAAGAAACAAACATCGATGAAGCTTTTTCATTCATCCATCCATCTTTTCTGTCTTCAGGCGAGGAGCTGTTTGGCCTGCAGCTCCATTTCTGCAGCCCTCTTCAGCGCCACGTCAACCAGCAACTGGAAGCCGCTGAAGTCCTGGGTGAGGTCGGGCGGGGTGGGCGGCGGGGTGTTGAACAGGCCTCTCTGGGGGCTGACGTTCCCCTCCCCGCGACACCCGAACAGCCCGGCCGCGTCTGTGAGCGGCAGCTCCGTGGCCCCCTCCACCCCAAGGCGCGTCGACGTGCCGATGCCTTGCGTGGCTGTGGTGATGGTGGTGTGGCAGATGACGGAGGGTCTGGGTAAGACAGGTCCAGGTGAGGGGGGTGTTTTGGGGGACAGGGCCTTTTTGGGGTAACCGTTAGAGGTGGGCGTGTTGCTGGTCGGGTGAGGCGAGCCGGGTACGTAGCTGCTGCGGTCCTCTCCGTTAGCGAGCAGACCGTGTTTTGGGGACTGGGAGTTGTCACTGAGCATCTCGCCGCCCTTGCTGCCCCGTCGCGAGATGGTGAACTGGTTGGGGTCCTTGCCGTCTTTCCGGAGCATCTCGGGAAGGAGTCGTCGCCGGGCGTTTATAAACCAGTTGCACACCTGTGGAGAGAAGAACAGATTATGATACACCACCATACATCACATACAATAATATATTGATATCACAAGACATTTTTTCTCCACCATACTATGTCATACATTTTTATTCTGTTATCAATATTTTGATTTACTTCCATAACATATATTATGTCCTACAATCCAATCATGTATAAGCAGATCATCTAAATAAGCTAAACAAGCTGTCCTACTTTGAAAATGTTTGTTTTGTGGTTTAAAACAGTGAATCAGAACATTTAAAAAAATGTTTTAATTAATTATTATATTAATCATTTTTTAATTATTTTTTAAGTTTAATTATTCTTAATTTAAAAAATAACTTCAATCATGATAAATTAAATAGGTAAAAACTTACAACATTTTATTTGAAAATAAACAAATATTGCTAAGGAAAATTAACCTCACATTCTGTCTAACTTTTACCACTTCTTACACTTTCCAAAGTTCAAAGCCTATAGTCCTAAAAAACACTTTAATTTTGTTTACACACTGTCTCGCTTGAGTTTAAAATGGAAATGTATGATGCTGTATTGAGTTAACATGTGATGGTTCTCTGAATCTATTTTTGTTTTTCCTCTTTTAAAAAGCTGAGCTGGCAGTTGAAATTGGGAAGCTCTCGGCGGTGAGGATTTCTCTCAATCACCTAAGTAACAGTTCAACTTTATCCCTCAAATTGTGCTCTTTGTTGGGCCTAAGGCCTTTAGGCCTTAATCATGCTAATAGTGCTGTATCTTTCATGGCTCTGGTGAGTCTCACCTGAGGGGGCGTTGAGATCTACTCTAATGCAAATCCAACATTTCAGACTACAGAAAACACATGTGAATGCTTGACTTCAGTATGGATCTCCACAAAAGGCCAATTACTACCGTGAGGTAACAGCCGACTGCTAACACCTTTAGTTTATATCAACAATTGAACTCTGTTGGCCTTTTTATTTGATGCAGATTGCGCACCACAGGCAACTGATAATTTACATGAAAGTTTTACTAAAAATACGCACAGATTTAAAATCTAAAATAAACAAATTCATCTAGGACCATCAAATAATTATATAAAAAATAAAAAAATTCTTTATACATGTGTAATCCTTCTTAATGTTGAATTTTATTTTATTTTGTCTATTTTGATGATAAAAGTACTTGTACACACCCAGGCAATACTGTAAATGTTAACAACCCCAATTATATTTCAAACTTTACATTTTCAGACTGGTATATTTAAACTTAGTACACTTGCTACAAAATAAGCAAAGCTGTTTTGCCTTTTACAATTCTATTCTGGCATACATTCCTAATACACACACGTCACAATGCTATAATGAAATAACTTGAGTTCTAACTTTTCTTTCTCAGTATCTAAAAAGCCTGGTTTCAAGATTCAGTCCTCAGTATGGTAATGTTCCTGTATTGTCTTCCAGCGAGTCTCTTCAGAAGAGAAGCCTCTTTGGCTCTCTGGGTAATGGGGCTGTATTGTGTATCCAACGGTCCGCCTGAGCCTGGTAGTCTTCACTATGTTAATGTGTGTGTATTGTGTCTCCCTATTGTTAGTGAGACAGCTGGCTGAGCACAGGGGAAATTCCTGGCCCAGTGTCTGAGCAAGTCTCTCTCTCTTTCTCTCTCCCTCCCTCTCTCTTTCAATGTGGCCACATCTCAGATGACTCAAAACAGTTATTCACTCATCTGTCCACAGGAATTCTCTCCATTGACTGCATTCACAGGAAGTGTTGTTTATATGACGCTAAAACTCAGCGGGAACAGAACGTGTGATCTTAAACACAGTAGCGCTAGCAAAAAGAGCTGACTCTTTCTTTCTTCTGACGCATTTTTTGTGGCTCTCTGCTAGTTATGACATTGAACCTTTCGATTTCCTTCACACGTCAGTTGAACTAGACATTGATGACCGCTAACTGCTCTCCTGTGAAGCATATAAATAGATTACTGATCAACAAAGCAGAAAACTGAAAAATTCCCCTTCGCATTCTTGACGGAAACAAGCACTCGTGAGAAACTTCTAACTTCTAACTTCTAAGCATAACTTCAGAAACTACTTTGGGTCATTCAAACCCTTTTTATTCAGGGTTCCCAAACCTTTTGGCCAATGATTTTCCATGACTTTCAGTCCATTTTTTTAGATGACATCTTTTCATTTATTTTTTATATACAGCGTTTTAGATATAGCATCCACAAATGCAATTTCAAGACATTAAAATACTTCAGAACAAACTAAAACTAGAAAAATCTTCACTATAGAATTTTTCTGTTTTCAGATTTTTCTAGACCTTGAAACAGTGTTGTTTACTGAACTATTAAAAATCGTATTTATTTATTTATTTATTTATGTATACATTTATTTTAATTGAAATAAAGCCTAAAATAAAGTAAAATAAATCTTAAAATAAAATAAAATAAAATTGCTAAAAAAAAATGAAAACAAACCATTAATAAATACTATAAGAGTATATAAATCATAAAAAAAATAACACCGACTGAAAGTTAACACTCCCTGACAATCCAAGTTTTTCATAATCATTGGAACTTTGTATATTCTGACTGGCTGGGTGACATGCAGTTTTTCTTTTGTTTGTTTGGGGTGTTTTTTAGTTTCCTTGGACTGTACTAGGCCACATACAAGCACTTTCTGAAAATGTTCTGTACCTGTAGTGTGGAGAGATGGGTCTGCTTGGACAGCAGGGCTTTTTCCTGCTCTGATGGATAGGCATTGTAGCGGTGTTGGTAGAGCCAGTCCCGGAGTATCTGTACTGACTCTTTGGGCAAGTTTCCTCTCCTCTTCCTCTTCCCTGACACTCCTCCATTTGAAGAGAGGTCAAGAGGCACATCCAAACTGTCCTCGTCCTCTGTCTCACTTCCAGACATCGCCAACACACCTGTAGTCATGAGACGTGAAATATTACCATTTAAAAACTATGAATTTTACAACATTATTCCTTTTATATGTGCACACGAAGGCTCTGAGAACCAGAAAAGGTATGAAGTTAGGTTTTTTGTATTAGCAATGTGTTTGTAATAGTCAATAAGCGTGTTTCAGGGAACGAGTAAGCTGGGAATCAGTGTGTACCCATGTGTGTGAAGGAGGACAAAAGACACCCAGTCAAACATCAACCCCCCAATCCTTGCTGAGGACCCTCCTCCTCCCCCTATCCTACACACACTGTCTCTCCCTCCAAAATGCCAACCGCTGAACGCTACACAACAGCGCCTGGCCGTCTGTATGCATGTATAAGCGTGTGTCTGAGAGAGAGAGTGTGTGTGGCAGCTGATGTGTCACATCCCTGCTGTCAAGCAAAGCCATGTGATTCATGGTTGGAGCGGAGGCGTCACAAAGACTGTAAACGGTGTCAATGTTTCATTGTGCCTTTGTAAATACTGTACGAACGCTCACAAAAACTGGAACAAACTATGGTTAAAGACACTGTTTTGCTTCAAACTCACTTAAAGGGCCAGTTTACCTATTTTCACACTCAAACCTGCATGACTTTTTTTCTATAAAACACAAAAGCTGATGTTAAACTGAAAAATAGTATCATTCACTATTCACTTTAACAGTATGAAAAAGGTGAATCATGACTGACTGTACCTAATGCCTACCATCCCCTTTTGTGGAAGACAGAAAGTCATGCAGGCTTGGAATAACATGAGGGTGAGTAATGATGACAGAGTTGTGATTTTGGGCAAACTATCCTTTTAAATGCTGATCTGACAACTTTTTCCTGCTTATAATTATGACTTGAATATTATTACTTGTTCCTACTTATCATAAACCGGCTAGTTTGTCAATAACACGTTTCACTCAGAGTGCTGATGGGGCTGAGGGGGACTTTCAGCACTCTGTAAGTGAAACAAAACTTTCCCCAACTTCAGCTCGAGCGTGAGGGACTCTTCACGGTCTAAAAACGAAACAAGTGAAATCACATACATATCTAGCTTTAATGTTGTGTGAGAAAACGACTGAACTTGTGAAGATGAAGAGTAATTTTATCATCGGCCTACATGAGGAGGAGGGGGAGGGGAACCTGTTGCAAATCTCAAGACCGAACAAAAGAATGCCGCTTGTGGGACATTTCAAACTCTGTTTTTTCGACTTTTCACAAGATGAAAACTTATGAAATCACGTCAGGTGACAGATGAAAGACTGACACGACTCTCTACACGGTTAGACGCCATAATATTTGAGAAACATTAACTTAATAACAGAGAATAACTCGGGCTCTATTGTGTGCTGTGAGAAACACGAGGTCGGAGGGAATGTGAAAGCGTCGCCTCGAGGAAGCAGCGCGAAATACACAAACTTCACAAAAGGAGGTCAGGAATTATTGTTGCACATTTTAGACCGCTACACAATGTTCAAATGCAGTGAAAGCAAAAAAAGGAGTAGTCGTCAAATTAAAAACGACACTTGGAAAGTTCCCTTCATGTTCCTATAACAAAACTTCAGTCAGTGTTATGAGAAACTCTGAGCGCATGAAATTTTTTTTCCAAACCAAAGGCGTTCAACTATACACGAAGGCATTTTATACCCACTGCACAAAAAAAAACATTAGAAGAGTTACATTTGAGACTATTTGAAGTTATAGTTGTAGACTTCGTGAAACAGCACTTTAAAACATCTCAGATAAATACGACTATTACATAAGCATGTCTGTACAAAATCAAAGCTTTTATGTTGTGAATAAAAAAAACACGCGTGTTAATAACGCGAAACGGCTCGTTGTGACAGCCCGCCAGCACATGGTGACAAAAAGGCTGTTTTGTCTGCAGCGGAAAACAATAGCAGTATGACAGACATTTTCTGTTCAACCATCATCGACAAGTTCTATCCAGTCATTACAATCACCAATAAAAATCTAACATATATCGCCGCTATCACCCATATCGCGAAGATACATACCCTTTTTGGTCTTCATGTCCGTCAAAATTCCCCTTTTCACGTTGGCAACAAGGAGGTCGATTCTTCCTCGCTTTAATCACACACAACTGTATTATTCCAGATTGTTACAAAGTATCGAGCGAAATATGTTTTTTTGTCGAGGAATCGCCGCGGAGCGCGTTTTTCATTTGTCGGAGACGCAACACATTGTCGGGTACCTGGGACAGGCTGCGCGTCTCATTCAGTGTGTTTGATGTGGAAACTGGGTGACAGCTATCTTTGACAGCTGCGTGACTCAACGCGGTTAGATCCTCCCCCTCCGAGGGCAAGAGGGAAAAATCTGACATCAGACATACAAATACAAAAAGGATAAAAAGAGACAGAAAAAGGGCTTTTTTGACAAACCGATCCGAATCTGAAACGTGTGTAGAGAAAGATCCAGCGCGCGGAATGTGTTTGTGGAGACGTGTTTTGGACATTGAAATGGATCTAGTTCCTGCACGTTTCCCTTTAATGACTGCGGCAGAGAGACAGGAAGCTGGTTTATTATGAATGTAGGTTAACATTACCAAGAGGCAGACACATGGCAGGGATATATTTGGGACTGCTTTCATCAGCATACTTCTGTTAGGCGCTCTACTCCAAAACAGTATTTTTAATGGCGCTTTGTTTTTCTGTCACTGAGATGTTTGCATGTTACTCGTGTTTATATGGCAAAAATTGTGTTACTGCAGGATAGTGTTGATGTGTTATCAGGTGCAATGCGGCATTTATTTCAGGTGACAGATGTCCATGATGCTGTTGCAAGAATGCCAATAGGGATTGAATTCGAATGTATTAATTTTGGTTCCCATTTTTCTTAACAATTATAGTTTGATTAATTGATTCTTTTTGAGCGTTGGTGAATACTCTAGGAAATAAATGTGGCTCTTATACGATGACATAATTTCAAATTTAACAGAACAGTAACACATCAAAAACCAGTTAACTACAATTCTTGCAAAACATGTTTACCTCTTACAGAAGCGATCAATGCAACCCAACAGTTGGCCGTATTAATATTAAATAAAAATACGAAATAAACAAAACTTTATTTTTTATATGATACCACTGATTACTACAAAACATAGGCTACTATGTGCATTTAAATTATGTGTAATTTAATCTCGCGAGTTTTGAGTAAGCCTACAAATAACACGGTGAAGGTTTTTTTTTTCGATTTTACGTCACGAAAGTAATAACTTGCTGTCAAGAGAGTGAGTCAGATTTATTCAATACATTGTTTTGATTCACTATAAAGAGTCATTCATTAGATTAATTTGACCAGGGACGTTAAATCTGTGTGAATCACTAAAAAGAGCCGACTCAGAGTCATTAATTCGAAAACCGGACTACACTGGTTGCGCTGTACATGTTTTTAATTCATTAAAAAGAACCGACTCAAAAGAGTCATTTGTCCGGGATTCGGGACTACACTGGCGCTTTAGATTTAGTAGCGGTTGTGCGCTGCTGATTACATAAACACAGTCATAAAATGTGCGCTCAGAGTGTTCTAGGACCTTTAAATAATTCGAACGCCATGAACAAATTTACAAAATGGAACAGGTTCTGATTCTGAATAAGTATTAGTTCTCGGTTCCACAGCAGCTCCATTTGTAAACCGTGCGTTATGCTTTCTGTTGGCGCAGCCCTGCGTGATACCCGTTTGACCGCTGGGATTAAATGGTTGTAAAGCAAGAATCGCTTGTTTCTTCAGCTGTCCTGGTGACGCGTCCCTAATTCAAATCACAGCAGTCTCAGAATTCTTAACGCTGATTATCCCTCTTGCGTATGGAGCCCTACGTTCATCTGTTGTTGTTCCAGTCTGGCGCATAATCCAAAACAGTTAAGATTTTTGCGTCAAATCGTGCTCACATGCACGTTAGTGTATCCATCACTCACATTATTAGATATGTGTCAAAACATATGATTCAGACACAGACCTTCAAAACCAAGCGTGATCTGCTTGTCAAAACACCGAAGCACATGGTGGTAAATGCTTTAGAGAGCTGTATTTGGAGTCTGTGGATGTAGGTCAGGTCGTTGACTTTTCCATGCGAGGCGTGCATGCGTCTGGCTGGCTGGCCTTAATTCTCACTTTACTGCCGATGATAAGAGCACAGGTTATTCTGACTACACACGCGTAAACAATAGCCCATGTTTGCAGCAATCGGATATTATAACACAAATCTTATCATCGCATCGTCCTTGTTAAAGGAAATAATTAAAACTCGGTGAGGTAATGTCTTTATGTTGATTGTCTCTGCAATGGATCTGAGAAAACGTGATGATTCACGATATCTCATAAACCTGAGACAGCTCACTTCAGATTGTGTAACACTCATCGCAGTCAAAAAGGCGTTACTGTTATCTGATAAAGAGAGACCAATAGCTCCCCCTGGCGTTACATCGCGCAACTGCAAACGTTTTGCACAAAAGTGTCGTAGAAGCATTTGCCTGCTACCTATTGGTAAAAACTTCATTTTTCAGATAAAATAAGATACATTAAAAAAATCGATATATTTTGATTCAAAGTGAAGTAAAGAATTCCAAATAAATAAGTCGCGTAACCCTTGTTATTCTGTTCACATATCTATGCATTAAATAAAATAGGCAGTGTATTAAGTGATGTCTTTTGGAAGGTGCAGAACATTTCGAGATGCATGAGATATTTTCCCCTTCAGTAACACAAGCATAAAGGGCCATATCGACTTCCAGTTCAGTTTATGGAGACATGTCAGCACAGTGAAACAGTACACAGTGGAACTATGTATGAGAGTTATGTGGAAGCTATTTAAAACTCATGTCGTTTCAACTGACCTTCAAATATAAAGGTGATCTGCCCAGTGACATCATTTCCTCTGTAATACGAATCATTTTTATACAGACAGACAGACAGACAGACAGACAGACAGATAGATAGATGATAGATAGATATAATCATTTTTATACAGACAGACAGACAGATAGATAGATGATAGATAGATAGATAGATAGATAGATAGATGAACCACTAAAAAACAAATGACAAATTCTCAGAACAGGTGCAGTACTACGGTGTTGAGACTCTCCTTGCAGAATACGATGTCATGAGTCAGAATGTTCAGGAACTCTGGGATTAGTGTGTGTAGCAAAATGTTCACAATTTCTTGAACTCAGTGTCAAATGGAAGTTTAAAATCATATAATGAAAAACAGGAGATGAAGGGTACATCGAAAAAATTATTTGCGTGTCTGTTATGAAAAAATAAACTTATTGGATTGAAGCTTTGGTTTGATGTCGCGCGGACGTGACGCAATTTTCTTAGAAAAGTCTTTAATATGCTTAAGGCGATTCATAGCCAACTCGTCTTGATAAAGTAGAACCAATGAAGTTTTGTGTGAGGCGGGACTTCCTCGCTGTTGAGAAGAAGTGTGGTCCGCAGAGCTGTATGGGAACCCGCGGCCTCTTGGCAAGCTGCACGCATTCCAATCTGGCGACGCCGCCCTGACGCGCGCGCTAGCGTAAACACGGACAGAAGCGAGAGAAACGCCGAGAGTCCCAGTGACACATCACATCTTTCGCATTCCCGCGAGCTGCGGGTCGTCTCCTCGGCTCGGGCGGTGTATCAGAGACCGGGGGGTCCGGTTACCACCAGTGCTCGGGCTAAAATTAGGGTTGCTTTGGGGCTGACGCAAGAAAACTCTGTAGCAGCAGCGAACGAGGATCCATGGAAACGCGCCCTACACATTCACTGCTATTGATGACAGAGAGTATTTTTGGACTGTGTTGTCATCATTGGGTAACAACGAGGCCAAAAACGTATTGTATAAAGGGAGGACGTTGAAAATGCACTTGTACAGCAGCGCGTTAACACACTACCCCGGCTCTTCTCGAAAAGTTTCCGTAACTCTCAACAGTGTCGCCAATAACGCACCAGCGACAAGTTCCAGCTCTTTGGAGGTGGTCGGAAACGCCGTTAACAGAAGCGCCACTGAAGCACACACGGGATATTTATCTCGAGGGGGACAGACTGACGCGAACATGCCTGCGTTTTCATGTTATGAGGCCACCTCGATGAGCCCGGGTTTCTACACTTCTACCGCGGAGATTATCATCACGCGACCGGATGGCGTGGAGAGATCTGTGCCCGTTCACATCGTGAAGGAGTCGCGCACAAACCGTAGACCTCTGGAGACGCACTACAACCGAGTTTCTTACGCAGTCAACGGAGACGATCATCACCACTCTGATTCTGTCTTAGAGTTAGACCCCAGAAAAGACGTTTTTGGGGATGACAACGATGAGATAAGTGAGAAAAATTCAATTCACTATGATAGGTTTTTTGATAATGACAGTTGCAGAGTTTATGAGAGGAGACTCGAGCCATGTTTGCAAAGTGATGCCACACCCTCCAGAACTTTTGGAAGTGTACAAAAACCCTCATCTGATTCATATGAAAGTCTTAAAGACCCAGAAAGGCAGGAAAGTGTTGAAGATGATAATCCAGTCTTCGAGCTGCACATCCTTCAGGAGCACACTGCGACTCCCAACAAAAGCGATGTCGACAACAAGGTTACCCGTTACCTGGCCGAAGTGGAGAAACAGAACAAATACCTCCATGACAGGCAGAAATACCGCTTTCACATCATCCCAGATGGGAACTGCCTGTACCGGGCCGTTTCCAAGGCGGCTTATGGAGACCAGTCAATGCACAAGGAGCTGAGAGAGCAAACCATGCACCACATCGCCGACCACCTGGAGGAGTTCAACCCCATAATTGAAGGTGACGTCGGGGAGTTTCTGATCAACGCGGCGCAGGACAGCGCATGGGCTGGCTATCCGGAGCTGTTGGCCATGAGTCAGATGCTAAACGTGAATATCTACTTGACCACTGGGGGTAGCGTGGAAAGCCCAACGGTATCAACCATGGTGCACTACCTGGGTGAAGAGGACTTGTCTAAACCGGCTGTATGGTTAAGCTGGCTCAGTAACGGTCATTATGATGTGCTGCTGGACAGCTGCCAGCCCAACCCGGAGTATGATGACTGGTGCCGTCACACCCAGGTACAGCGCAAAAGGGACGAGGAGCTGGCCAAGTCCATGGCGGCGTCCCTTTCCAAAATGTACATTGAGCAGAACGGCCTGCACTGAAAGCGATGGACTCAATTGAAGAATGTACCTGGGAATACTGTAACTCATTCTGATGTTTCCAAAAGGATTGCACTTTGATTCCTCAAGTGATTAAATATTGCCTTAATTTATTACATTTCTATCTTTGTGTGTCTTCATTTTTTCCATAAATGTGTTGAAGTGCAGTGCACAAGATGATTTGTGGTGCGATATGTAAAATAAGGACTGGGTCTGAGCGAATTTTTCTTAGCCTTGATTGCATGTTTGTCTACAGAAGTTTAAGTCTTGTATGTATATATTTTTTCCTGTATATAGTTTTGTTATCCATTTTGCAGAACTGTTCATCCACCTGAATGGAATATGTCGCACTTATACAAACATTTCCAGCAGTTCTTGTTACCTGCACTGTTGTGTTATATACTAAACTGATGGTTCTTTTATGTTCAATTGCCTGAAATCT